GATATAAATTTGTCCCTTATTAATTAATTATTAATAATTATTCTACGAAATATTTGAATTATTGTCAAAGATTGTCGAAGACGCCATTGGTTTTTCATTAATTACTATCCTTTACACAATTAATTTATGAAACTTTATGCACTCATTAGAAAGACAATATTCTTCCGAATCTTCTCATATATTTTTTAATCACATTTGGCTTCTAGTTTCGTTGAGTATTAAATATTTTCACGGAAGATCGTGATGGTCGCCGTTACGAAATCATAGACGCCATAAAGCAAAAATTAATAACTAACAATTTAGAGCAAAATTCTTTACGAAAATTATATAGGAATGTAGCCTGAAGTTCCAGCTTTGCAACGAAATTATAAAAGTTCACAAATTGTTTACGGAAATTGAGTAATTAATAATTATTCACTGCCGGAGCCATTCTATCCTTCTCTACCCCCTCTCTGTCCTTGTCTGTCACGTGACGAGCTCTACAACGACCTCCTTGCCTATTCTATATTCCTATCACTTTTCCGAGCAAATGAGCTAAAATCATAGATGGCGCTGATCGCAGGCGGTAAAATTTTGATTCAAACTAAATATTAGAAATCAATTCGGCTATAGAAAATTAATAAATTTCCAAGTTTTTGTAATTAATTCATGAATATTTATAGCTACACTGCAAAGTTGGAATTATAGGCAACATTCTTATACGATGTTTAATTTAATAATTAATACTTATAAATTAATACTAATTAATACTAAAGGTAAATGTAAAATGATATAAAAATATAATAAAATATTGTTTTTTATTTTCCATACAGATATCAAAAATATATTAAATTAATATAATTAGGTTTATTGTTAATTATAGTTCAATATATGATATTTTAAAGAAGTGTTTCCATCAAAACATTTCTACGAACAGCATTATTAAAACCTTCTTTATATTTATACCATACTCCATTTTTTGTTAAAAAATTTCGTGAATTAATTGATTCATTATCTGTCTTTTTGTGTTTATCTTGAGAGACTGTGATAATTCTGCCAAAAAAATCCTTATACTTCTGCAATTTTTATTACTTTTATAATATATTACAAAGAAGATATTAAATAGATCAAAATATTAAAAATTACACTTACAATTTCTTTTGTTTCAGTTTGAATTTGTTTAGAATGTTCTATAATACTAGGTTTGCTAATTATATTATTCGACTCCGCTGTTGTTGAATTTGTTGCGATACTTTGTTTTGTAGTGCTTCCAATTTTATTTTGAGTAACATTTGTTGCACTTTTCACTATGTTTGCAGCTCGTCGTAATCGTTCAGCTTCCAATTCTTGGACAATTATTTGTTTCACTGCATATATGAGTGCTCGACGGGGTTTACAATCCGGGAGAACACCTATTTCAAATATATTACTGAAAAGGATACAATTAACACATAAATGTTGTTTAAGAAATAACAGTTTTAATAGTATTAATAGTTCTTTTAACTTACGGATCTAGTTTATAGTCATAACTACCATCAAGATTTTTCTCTTGGGTGAATGTAAGACCGAAATCAATTAGAATATTTACTAATCGGTTAATATCATCCTTTTCTTTAGTTGAGTGTAAATGACCAGAGATTGTTCGCAATCGTGGAGATAATAAATCCGGAAGAAAGGGAATAATATCGATTGTTAAGACGCTAATAATACGACCACTGTTTCGCTGAATACTTGTTAAAATTCCTATGTTTCTAGCATGTTTTTGAATCATCTATGAAAGTTGAAATTTTTTAAATAAATGTAAGGTTTTAGATTGTGTTCTATTTTTAATTTTATTATATATGGTTCTTACTTCGTATGAAATAGAAGGATAAGATAGTTTAACGTATCTTGCTTTAGCAAAATATAAGTGCCAAGTAACAAATGCATAATTTAAGTAAGACATAACAGACCAAGCTTGAAGAGTTGCAACAAAAGATAAAATTTCATCAAAAAATTGAAACCATTGTAAACATAGAGCTACATAATTCAATTTGTCACTACAAATTTCTGGATAATTATGGAATATGCCTTGAGCTAATTTTTCGGATTCTCCTAAAGTAAAAAATTAATATTATTAATATTCTTAAAATTTACATGAGTAATATTATTGAAAATAATTTACCATTTTGTACAGTTTTTAATACAAGTCGAACTCTCTCTGAAATGGAAAGTATCCCACTTTTATTCATGGGTATTGTTAATATTTGTTTCCATGAATCAAATAGTCCTTTTCTACTATCTTTTAATGCAAAAGATAAATTGTCTCCTAAACTAATGCCACCCATATATTGTAGTGCTCCCAAACAAGATCTTATATCACAACCAGATATTTCCACTAATCTCAAAAGTGCATCAGGATTTACCTTCAAATTTTCTTTTTGTGATATTTCCATTAATCTATCTGCTAGTCTTGTAGGGCTGACTTCTGGTACAGGTATAATGAGAGCAATAGCTCTAAGAGCTCTATAATAAATATGAAATAAATTTAATACTTATTTCTAGAAGCACATGAATTGTACATGCGAGTTAAATGAACAATTTACCTTAATGAAGGAGCATATGGTTCATTACAAATGCATATTACAGGACGGTGACAAGCATTTGATTTCCTATCACTTTTTATTTTATCTTTTTTACCTTTTGGAATTAGTTTACCTTGCACAAATTTGAGTAGAAGATCAATTGATGCAGCAGGAGCCCCATCAATTTCATCTAAAACTAGACAATTTGGTCGTGGATCATTTCCCATTACTGCTTTCATTTGTGTTGATGCAAGAAGGATTTGCCTATGTTGAAAATTGCATAATTATACAAATTTGCTATATTAGTTAAATACTTAATTTAATTGCATTACCTAAATGCATCTGGACTTCTTTCATCACTTGCATTAATTTCTACTATATTATAACCAGCATGTTTAGCTGCTAAATGTGCTAATGTGGTTTTTCCCAAGCCAGGAGGTCCACTAAGTAGCACAATTCTCTGAATTGGAAAACCTTTGTTATCTACTTCTTCAAATGCTTTTTCATTCACAAACTTCCTATTTCGAAACCTCAAATTTAGTTGTTTTTTCTTATTTTGAACATAATTTCGATTAAATACTATTTTATCCCAAAGTCTTATCCAATGTAATAAATATCTATTTACATCTTCATCTGAAAGTAATTCTATATATGTTCTAGGCCTATATTTATCAACCCATAATTCATCATCTTTGGCAATCTTTGTAGTAGAAAGGGAGGATGTTTCACAACTGGCACGTTTAACATTCTGAACTATCTGTAAAAAAGACTAAATTCTTAGAATGTTCATGTTATTAATGTTAAAGTAATTAGTTGAAACAAGAGATAATATATAATTTGTAAGTCACTTACAATTTCTTCAGCTTCAGCTTTAAGTTGGCTATATGGCACAGATAATAAATTAGAAATTGAATGTGTATTTGTTTTTACTTTACTTTCTTCAGTACTTTTTACTCTTATATATATACGTTGTGCATCATGTGGCCTAGTTACAGCTATAAAATTCCAGCGAGGAACGCGTAAAGATATTGACTCTTTCTTGCTAAACAAAATTATTAAGCAATTAATATAAATTTATAAGAGACTTTAAATAAAAAGTTAACCATATTTCTTTTTAGCATACTTTTCATCATATCTTTTGTTAACAGAAACTCCTCTATTAAATTCATTGAGCTTTTTTCTAGCATCTAATACTGCTTTAATAACTTCTTGAGGTTGATCCCATCGTGGTTTCTTTTCTCTTGGTTCCTGAATATCAACTGTAATTTGAATAAAATTATTCATCATATTTATTTATGTATGTAATTATATAAAATACATACCAAAATCATCTATATCTAACATATCTGAAATGTCACCAAATAGTTGATTATAATTTCTTTTCTTTGTGTAATCTGTATTAAAATTGTCATCGCATTGAACTGCCGTACTTGTATTAGAAATAGATAACTCATTGTGTTTACTAGGTGTAGGAGTATTTAATTCTTTATATATATTAAGTCTCAAAATATTTAATTCATCTTTTTCATTTTGATTTTTCTGTGAAGTTTCAACTTTTTGAGACTCTAATCTTTTTTTAATTTCCAATTCTAAAAGACAATATATTTAAATTTGTGATTATATTTATTTTATAAATTCAAATGATTTTAATAACTACATTAACGAATAAAGATTTACTGGAATGTACTATTTTTGGTTAAAAAAAGCCCACAGTTATTTGTATAGATTTACAAAAAGTTATGATAAAAAGGTTATAATTCATATACCTTCAATTTCTCTTAGAACTTCATATTCATCTTCGTGGATTAAATCAAATTCTTCATCAGGATCAGGAAATTCAGAATCCATGATTAAAATATATTTTGGAATATTTAAAATTACAAATATTTTAATTATTATGAAATTCGTTAAACTTGACCTATGTTATACATTATAGTCACGTATGTTATATTTTCCCGCGTAATTTTTCGCGGTAATTTTAAATTATAATATACAGGTAAATAAACAATTACATTTTCATAATAAATAAATATAAAGGATTATAGTATATAATTAATAAATTATTGTGGGAAATTATTATTAATGAGTAAAAATGTTTAATGAAAATCATTCAATAATTCTTTTGTGGAGTAAAAATTATTGTTTAACTTAAACTATAATAAAAGAACTATTCAAATGATTTTTACGGAATTTTCTTATATCATTTACAGTTGTTTCTGGTTAAGTATGTAAGTCGCATTCAGAATAACGAGTTGTTTCACGGACAATGCTTTGAATAACAAAGACCATTTCAGGTATGCAGGATGAATTCAATAATGCAGGCATCAATACTATTGGAATTTTCTGTAAAATGTAATGTCTTTACCAACTATTATTATTTGTATTTAAATATATATATATATATAGTTATGTTTGGATTTAATATCAATTAATATTAAATATCTAATTTATTGAAAAAAATTGATAATAGAAAATTATGGTAAATATTTGATATAAATCTTTACAATTTTCAAGTACAGGGAATTATATTTTTGTAATATCTTAAGTATGTATAATATATTTTTACTATTAATAAATATACTTAGCTTTGATGAATATATTTTCAGTATACGTAGGCACACGTCAGTCTGTGCCGTGGCGTTGCATGAGGAACACTGTAGAGCAGATTTGTGTTTTGTTTAGAAATAATACTTATGTTATGTGAATTGTTAGTGTTTTGTACGTGTGTGTTACTGAAAGTATTCAACGAGTCATTAAATGGTATAAAAATTAAATAAAATTATGTAATATTTTAGTTTTATTAGTAAAGTTTTTAACTATCTTTAAAAGTAAAATAACAGTGTTATAAATTTTGTATAAATGTTTGTTTACGAATAAGTTTAAAATACGGAAGAATTGAACAATTTGGTTATGGAAGGTTATAAACATTCAGTAGAACATTTTTCGTTCCTTATTCTTTGTCTGAGACGAACAACCCTTCTGATTAACACAGTCAGTCACTGTGAATCCGGTTTCGTTAAAGTTTCGATCAATACCGTCCTGTTTGGGTCTCCAAAGTGATATTGTTACTCGATTGAGTCTGTATATATGATTATGATATCATGTGCTTTTTCGAGAAGCGAAAATCAAACTGATAATTTGTAATAAAATACTAAGTAGATTGTAAATACTTAACGGTGAATTAAGGACATAAAGATGTCCAAACTAATTTTATTTGCGGATCATAAAGTAACATGGTTATATTTAATAACTAAATGTTTATCAACGAATTATTTTTTGAAAGAGATTGTTTTGAACTTTTTGTGTTATATGTTTCTAGAATATTAATTCTACGTTTGTACTTTGTTATAACTGGCGTACTATTTGCTTTGAGATATCTAGGACTGTAGAACTACTTGGTATAGTCTATTGTTTTCCACTTCTTTTCTCATCTGTGGGAACCTTTTATCAGTATGCGATAGTTCAGCGGGACGTCGCCACTGTGTGGTTGATGCGTTAAAAAGCGGCAAATTTTTTTTCTAATAGTTAATTAAGACTATGGAGCATGGTATAGTACCATTTATTTTTAACATTCGTTCATCTCTAACATTACTACACAACTTTAAAGAAGTCGAGTTTAAAATTACCTGAAATTATCCTCTCTTATAAATGCTATGTTCATTGTAAATTGGACAGCGAATGATACAATGGACTCTACTTAATACACTCTTATCTGTTACTATTATTTATTACGCTTATCTATTGATACAATCTTATTTTTATGACATCTCCTCTTTATTTTACAAAAGGAATTAACAGCAATTAGCTGCAATTCCGAAAGATATGTAACAAAAAAAATGTGAAAACGTTCACCTTATTTATCAATGTGTTAAGAGAAATGTTGGTTTCCCTTCTTTCATATTTTATTATACGCATTTGTAATAATTTTCTTATATTTTTTCAACTTTATTATTAAAATTGAAACTTTTCTATATCAATAGGTGTATTGATGTAATATGGAGTGTCACGTGGATTAAATTACCTGAGTTTCGACTACCTTGGATCACATGTGGCTTTGTTACGAAGAACGTTAGTCAAGTGTCACGTTGTTCATGTAATGAAACGAAGTATGCAGACTACTTTATCCAGACAAACGATCGGTTGTATTGGAAAGTGTACTTCAGGTCTAAGTACCGACGAATTAGATCAAATCACGGACAACATAAACAAGACTTTAAATCATCTACGGGGAAGAGAGATTTTTAAGAAATTTCTACAACGACGCGGTCTCCGTGACAATCTTGAGTGTTTAGCGTTGTATGAAGCATGTTCGGAAATTATCGAAAAGAGAGATTCGTAAGTAATTTTTTTTTCTTAAAAGTTACAACAGATGAAAATTTTAGCTAAATGCATATTATTTTTTCTATCAGTCTTGGAGGCTAAGGAAGCTTTTGTTAACCGATAAGACAGTTAGATGATAAATGAAAACGAATTTCTAGGATTTTGAAACAAAGAACGTCGTTGGATTGGTTAATCAAGAATGTCATGCAAGTAAAAGAAATGGCTGAAGATTTGGATGGTGTACCACAGATAGATATGGCACACCTTGAACGTTTCAACGAAGCTTTAAATAGCGATTCGAGGACTTCTTTGCTTAGTTTATTAGTGGATACCAGAGATCGCTGCTGTGATCATTTAAGACGCGTTCATGAAAGCTTCAAAAAGTATGCGTCGGAACCGTGTCCAACGACTAAATAACGAACATATTTTTGTACATTTTCATATTTTTAAATCTTTATCAATGCAGGCATTAACTTCATTCGTATATGTTCATTCAAAATTATTATTAAATGATTTTATATGTGGTTTTATAAATAGATTTTCAAATGATTTATATCATTTGTTGAATTTGTAAAAGTTACACGTATCAATGTAAATCTGTGATGACTAATAATATATATTTTCTGTACATTTTTACTCGATATCGTAATAGTGTACTAACTTAAATTATGTAATTTAATAAAAAAGGCAGCAAGAGTTAGAATTTGATGTTTTATATTTTTGATATTTGAGATTTTATCCCGAACATATCAGCACGAATCAACATTCAAATTCTTCTCCATTTATATCGATGTTCAATTAATTGATGTTCGTTACGTGTCTTAACTGTAAGATGAATCAAAAACGCGTGAAAGATTCTCGTATACGAACACTTATTCCGGTAGACGAATATATCATGAAAATAAATAATATTCATAATACTATGAAATCTTTGGAGGAAAGTCTTAAGATTACACGAAACTTAGAAGCGGAGCAATGGTTGTATTACTCAAATTTGAAAACAAAGAATAAAATAATGATGGACGATCTCAAGAAAGCGAATAAACGTAACAAAAATATGCTCAGTATGTGTAAACATTTAGACCATACGGAACTGTACAGCAAATAATGTAATTAGGACTCTCACATTGTGTCTGTAGATTTATTTCGGCAGAGTGTAACGGATATTCGTTTCGGAAGTGACATTGATTTGCCAGAATCTTTGAAGAGGGAAGTACAAAGAACTTGGCATCAAAAGTAGCACTATTTACTATTTACATTCCGAAACAAATTGATAAATAATAAAAAACAGATCGATGTTAAATTATTTATTAGGTATGATGCTTTGTTAACGCAGAACGAGCAATTAAAGCGAGAGCTTGCTTTGCACAATAGCCTCCTTAAAGAAAAAACACAAGAGGTAATATTGTTTATTTTTAACGAATTTATGTACATTTCTTATATCGTTAAAATCGATCTATTCTAGGTAAATAATCTTCAACAAAAACTATTAGCACTTGATGATAAACTTGTCGAACGATACGAAGTCGTGGAAAATATTTGTAAAAAATATTTGTCTTTGAAAAAGCGAAAGGACGTACAAGAAATCTTTTTACGTGGATCTATTGAAACGTTGCAGGTTGAAATAATTAAAAGAAAAAAGAAAACAAATATCAAATAGCACATACTTGATAGATAATTGTTTGTAAATAAAGATCAATTATATAATAGGATGCATTAAGGAAGACAAACAGTGCAGCTGGAAAGAGAAATTCCAGAATATCTTTGATATTTAGTAAAGACGCGTTATTAGCTTAAAAGCAACCATTTAGCTTGAGAAAATTACCTTTCATGGATCCCCCTGCAGAAAGTGAAATGCACGGATGCAAAACCGATGGAAAAAACAGCTCTGATTTCTTTAGATAAAACTTCGTGATCGATCTTGCTCAATTTGTAAGCTCTATTTATTTTATAAGTTCGAAATAAAAAGTCTTTATGCGTAAATCTTACGAAGAAAAGATCTGTAAAACCATATAGTTGCAGAGTTCTATTAGGTTAAGAATAAGATCGTAGGTGGTAGTCGCCATTTCGGAGGCAACATTTAAGGATATCGGAATTATGCAACTAAAGGTAATAACCGGATAAAAGAGTCACTTTAAATTAAGTTAGCGGCGATCGATGACAAGTGCTTCACTATAAAAGCAAGAACACTGATCAGACTAGTCTTACTTGGTGCTGACCAGCACTGAGAGAATTCAGGATAATTTGATCGTTATTAGTCACCATGTAAGTTGATTTTCTTCAAACGATTAATAAATGTTTATTCAACGTCGTATTTAATTTGTTGATTTCTAATTTGCTTTCTTAGGTATGACAAATTCGTACGATTGAAAACACAACGATAATAGAATTTAAACGAAATTTCTCATCTTTGAATCGAAAGCATTCAACAAGTATAAAGTTAATAAAACATGTCGAAAATATACCAAGCATTCTTAACGTTCTACACGTTTCTCTTCTCTCCGTTAGTTCTTCTGCTATTAGTATGTTCCTACGTATCTCGCTGCATCGTAGAGATCGTTCTAAGGATACAATTGAAGGACAAATTTGCTGGTTTCCTTGATGGAACAGATAGCGTTTGGGCCATAGAACACTCATCGGCACTTTCCGTGAACAACATCCTTTTGATCTTAGAGAAGGACGCACGCCATTCGAATATGAACTTCATGGAGAGTTTTCGTGATTTGGCAAAGAATCGTATAGTGAGTTCGTCTTTCGAGAAATTGTCACACAAGAGAAAAAGCAAGTTTGGTTATTATTTCTGGGAAAGGAGCGAAGAGATCGACTTAAAAGAACGTATCAGATGGTTGGAGTATGAGCGCGCGAACTGCGATGGATCCTGTGATAATATTTACAATGGGAACTTGAAGAAGGTCTTGTGGAACATTTGCAATCAGCCCTTGCCAGAGAATCATACGGCATCCTGGGAAATTTTGATCGGAAAATCCTGTCCCAGGTCTAGTCATCATTACCTTCGACGAATGGAGGAGCGATTGGCGAGTAAAATCAGGATTCCCATTTTATTCCGTGTGCATCACTCTCTGGGAGATGGAATGGCCCTTCTCAAGTTCTTTAGGGACGTTATCATCGACAAGGATCCAATGCCGGAAACATTCTTGCAGCTGGAGAACACAACTTTCAAGATAAAAGGCGAGAAAAAGAGGTCGAATATGACAGTATCTGTGATAAATCCTGCGGATCCTTGCTCGAGTGGAAACAATAATTCCAAGTGTTCGTTTCAAAAGGAAGTCATGTCGGCGTCTATGCCCTTCATCCACTTTATAGTGTACTCATATTTCATTAAACTATTAAGAGAGCAGTTCGCTGTGAGAAGGGAGAACTTGCAAAATTTTAATTTGCAAGATTTGAAGTACGAAATAAGAGAGTTTCTGCGAAGAGAACGAGATAAATTAAACACTTTTTTCTTAGAAGTTGTTTGTAAAAAGGCACAGATATATCTGAAAATGGCGAAGGTTATCATAAGTATTCCTGGTTGCTTGATTCAACAAGCTTTTCGTAGCATGGATAAAAGGTTTGTTTCTTCGCTTTCTCAATTTCTTTTTCCCAAATATTAAAAATGTTTCATTTTAGTGCACTCCATGGAGCAGAATTGTCAGGCGAAAAGTTGGTTTCTTACTGGCTCGAGGACGATTTCAAGAACACCTGCAATCAAAAACTATTTACGAAGATTCAAAACATAAGGAGTATTACAGGTGCTAGGTTTGGAGACGTGTTATTAGCTGCTTTGTCTGTTAGCTTACATAAGTACTTCATTCGCGTAAGTGATCAAGAATTTTTCATTCGCATTTCAATCATTCGTATGAATATTTTATTCTCTGGTTCATTCGAATTTTACAGATGAACGAACCTGTTCCAACCAAATTGAGTGTCGTCCTGCCGATGAAAATAGAGGAATGGAGCCAGAATCTTCCGTTGCAAAATAATTTTTCAGTTGGCATACTACCGCTTTGCATTTCACAGATAAACGGCAAAGAATTAGCAGATCCACGAGAAAATTCTCAAATTTTAGAACGCCTTGAGAATATCAAAAGAGCGAATGATACTCTCAGAAAGAGTCCCGATTACACAGTAAATTTCCTAGTGATGAAATATCTCTCAGCTCTATTGCCTGATAAATTGTTACGACCGATTTTTAAGAGTCACAGTACGATGGTATTTAGTAATTTAGTTGGTCCTCAGGAAGTGAAACTTTTAGGTCACCCTTTAAAAAATATCGTTTTTTGGATACCAAACAGGTAACCTTTAACGTTTTATAATTTTTATTCTTTTTTTTCATTGAATATGTCTCCAAAGATATTTTAATGATTAGAAATGCCTCAATTTCTTTGTATTTAGGAGTTACACAGGAATTGGATGTTCATTGTTAACTTATCGGGGTTATTTACATTTGTCTTTGATTGCTGATAAAGCTTTAGTACAAAACGAAAAGTTTCTTACACAAATTTTGGAGAACACTGTGAACGAGATCGATAATCTTTACGACAGATTAACACTGTCATTCTTTTCGAAGAAGCTTCGTAGAAGCATATCAACACCCACTAAAAAAGGTAGGTCAATTGAAGAGAATGTACTCCAAAAATATTAACGTTATTTTTTTATATTTTCAGCAAACGGTGTGTTGTAAAATTGTGGAACTTTGTATTTATTTTTTTCACTCATTATTTACTTTCTTCATCAACTCTTATTTTATTGTAAAGGACAGTGCTTTTACCATTGTATTTTACCATCAAAAGTCTTTGTAAATAATTGTTGTTTGAGTTGAGGCGAGACGAAAGTTTTGTGTACTCCCATGATTTGTATTTTTACTATGTATAATTAAAAAATATATTTTCTTAATCATGTATACAAGTGTTCTCTGAAATATTCTTTGGAATGTTCTGTAAACACTATATGAAAAATGAAGTATATCATCAATTGATATCATACAATTTTTGAAAAAATATCGATGCATGTATAATATATAAAATATGATAAATTCACAGATATTTTAAATTAAAATTGTTTCTCTTTTCGTTTCATCTTCGTACCTCTAAAAAAAATATATATATTTAAGCAACTTATTAAACGAATATACCCATTTTTTAAATCTTTGTTAATGATATCGTTTTTCTTAAACATAATTATTTTTCGTAACAAAAGAGAATACAAGGTCTCACCGATTGGCTTTCAAAAATAGATAAGGCCAGAAAATAATATCGAAAAGGGCGTTAAAAAAGGAGAAATTCGACTGTCGACGATTCGAAATTTTCGGTGATGCGTTTACTATTGAGTTTGTTTTGACTCGTTGAGTTAAAGTACTCTTTGTTTTGTGTTGATCCTTCCTTTCTTTTTTACCATGCTCACTGTTGCAATCAGTCAAAGCACCCACATCCTCTGAACTCGTGTAGACATGTTTTCGATGTTTCAGTGACCTGTTGATAATCTCGTGTAATTATCACGACAATCTGGAGTTTTAAGTAAATATCGTTTTAACCATTTTCTCTTTTTATTTTCTTCCGGGGACGAGCTTTTTAAATCGCTATCTTCTTCTTGTCGATTACTGGATATAGGATCGTGCTCAGCGCATGATTTGCAGGGGCAGTTCGGTTTCATGTTTCGTAGAATCCTTAAAATACGGGGATCACCAATGCTACTAATAATAGCCGGGGATTCGTCTGCCGTCGTCAATCCATGGTCTTCTGCTTCTTCATCTGCTTCTAACGTCGAGGTCTCTTCTTTGTTCCAAACTATTCTGGATAAAATGCAACGTTTCTGCGTAAATTAATATTTTTCCTTTCAATTAAAATTTCCATAATTATTACGTGTACCTTGTATCGTCTTGTGCTTCGAAACGAACTATGTCTTGTTTACAAGAATTTGGTTCTTTATAGCATGACCTTCTTTTTTCCTCTTTGTCTGTGACCTCGGCACTTTAAAATGGTGTTTAATTATTGTAAGAAAAATGCATCGATAACGGTGAGCAATTATCTTTTATTTTTGTAACAAACTTGTTAGTAGCATCGCTCGCCATGAGACATTTCAACTGTGGAGATTCCTTCGTTTTCAATTTCGTCTATAATATAAAAATTCGTTATTGCGTAACTCTTAATCAATTTAATTTTTATCTTCTTTTAGGACACACTACCGGATGGAATTCGTCAAACGTATGAGCTGGAAAGGTTGTTATCTTCGCGCGAGGAATTTTACTGTGTTTGACTTGAACTGGTGATCTCATTGAAACACTTTCGTAATCGTCTGATCTCTTGTCTTTCACTTTCGCTTCAGTGATTTGATTATCATCGTTCCCAATTGCCTCTTTTGTTGTATCCTTGGATGAAATATTTTTGCCATCTACTATTAAGTTCTTCTAAATACAATGAATTTCTAAGTGAGTATAATGAAGAAAAATAATTTTTTTAAATATTTAAGGAAAGATGAAGACTTAATATAAAGGAACTTGTGAATGTTTAATTAATTCTAATAAATCGCTATCTAAAAATTTCGTTCGAAAAAGAAATGTTGAAAACGGTACAAACCCTCAAGTTTGTCAAATCCTCGTTGTAGACGATATCATTATTGTCAATATTCCCTTTTTCAGTGATATGATCTTCTTTTTTGAAGAAACTGGATGAAATAATCGTTTTTCTCGTGGGATTTGCATTTTCACTATCGAGCGATCGTGTCTTTTTGTTTTTTTGAACCAGCGATTTCGTCTTGTATTCCTGAGATCTTTTCTGAAAATTCTTGCTTGACATAATTCGTCCTTTTAAGCGATTCTTTAGAGCTCTCTTTTTAAGTGGAAGCCCACTAACCATCGTACTACGACCGATCTTCTTGTTGTTTAGCAAGTTCGGTATATCCGGTTGGCTAACCGCAGCATCATAATCATACGTTATCTGTGGTTTTACTACACGATTTTTCACAGTGATACGCGGGCTACGAAATCGTTTGGTCGTCGCTGTATCGTGGATTCCACGTTGTGATCTTGCACTCATTGTTTTCTCGACATGATTAAAATTTCTTCTAAAGTAAAGTAATATCTCTTATTATTCATGTTATATTATTATGTCATTAAAGGTACAAAGCTTAAGTTTTTGTATTTACGAATCATTTAAAAATAGTGTATCATTATGATTTAACATAGAGACCTACACGGAAGGTAATGATTCGCTCGTAGTAAGTTCTAGTTTCCTTCTCACGTTTTTACGAGGCTTCAGTTTATTCCAGAATCTTAGAATTGTCTTTGTGGATTTATGCTTGATCTTCTTCAACGTCAAACTATTTTGATTAACAGAATTTATGTGTTCGAGTTGCTTATTACTCCATTGTGGCTCGATTTTTTGCGTCTGCTCTTCAGGCGGTGTGGAATGATTAGATTGATGATAAAAATGCGACTTAAACCGAAAGTGTGTTTTCTTGAGATTCGCCAGTATTCTCAGTGCTTGAGTTCACATTTTCCAGATATATGTAGAACTGTTATAAATATTTTTATGCTCCGTCGTTTGACGCTTGGGGTTAAACAAAAGAGTTTTATGTGACGTTTCAATGCTAACTTGTTGATCGCTAGTGTATATAAAAGAACTAGTAATAAAATAAATCTCGAAGCTGTGACACAGCCTAAATATCTCTCCTATTTTAATTCGTTCTCTAATGTTATGAAAATTATATTAAATACATTTTCTTTCAATATTTTCTTACAATAACCTTCACGTATTTTATATATTATTCTATTGGAATGAACAAAACTTTACACGAGGAACAATATTAATATCGGAGTATGGAAACTTGTTATTTTACCATTGATTTATGTAAAAGAAGACGGAAAACAAATCTAGCAATCTTTTCGTAAGTTAAAAACATTAATCCCACTGTAAGAACGGTTTGCAATAGTTTAGCTTCCATTCCTTTATACAGTCCCGCTATTCCTTGTTTTCTGCAAAAAAGAATTTACAGTAGATATAATTATACTTGTAATATTTTACAAATATACTACACTTACTTTAGTATGTAAAATAGAATTTCTAAGCTGCTAGCGTTTATTGGTAAGTTTGGATACTTATGGCCATGCTAAAAGTAATGAAGTATTAAAATCATATTATATTCTTATAAAAATAAAAAGTTAAAATATATATACGCACTCTCAATTTCGTTTGAACTAATTGTAATGGATAAGTTAGTGCAGTTGCTATTGTCTTGGCTACGGCACCAATGGCGAAGAAAATCCATGCAGATGATTGTGACCCATGGTAAGATGCGAGAATTCTTCTTTTAATAGTTTCATAAGTCATAAACTGAATGGCTGGATTCATAACTAGCATCAAGCTTGGGAATGTCCCGACCCAAAGTTTTCCCAGTCCTTCATGTTTCCATATGTATAGAAGGCCAGCTAGATAAATTAGAGTAGAGATAAAATGTGGAATTTATCAGTCATATTTGAATTATATTTATAGTATAATTATTATTTCTGCTCATTCATTAAAGCATTCATTATGCGTACGCATATTTAAATAAATTACATTTAGTTTCGTAGAAGTGAAATTTATTACTTTACGCTCATCAGAAGTCGCACTTTGTACTTTGCTTGATTATGCAACAGAGAATCATTGGACATATGTTTGACGTTTATTTTTTCTGACTTTATGTAATGTTACTTTAAAAAACGTACCATACAATGAATCATATTCATTGTTGCTTCTATCTTGTATATGGCCGACGCCTCTCATTTTCAGTCTAGTATTTACTACCCATAACGGTGTCGTTGATAGGACATTAATCACACCTGAAAGAATTAATTTTAAATAACGAAATTTAATATAACAGTATAAAGAATGAATATTTTGTGATGTATTTACACAATACCTGCGATCGATGCAACCAGTAAATCATTTCCAGCTGTTTGATTTCTACTTGTTCTCAACATTTTTAAGCCGTGAAATGTGTAGAAATAAACAAAATTACTGGCACATAAACTTTGAAGAACGGGTATCATTCCTCTATATAAGGTTGCCCTAAAATACAAATTTCAATAAAAATATGTTGAAATTATTATTTTAACAATGATCATTTGTACATGTTACAAAATAAAAAAAACTCACGGTCCTTCCTTTGCAACGAGGTCTCGTATCGTTGCGAGTGTACTTTTCGATTCTCGATCTTCTTCCACTATAACAAAAAAATGAAGTTACAGATTTGAGTAATGATATACATAGTACTATACAAAACAAGTAGTTTCCATAGTAAAATATAAAACGTAAATATATGTAGTTATATATTCTATATAATTTACTTCGCAACGATAATCTAATTTTTTTATGTCACAGACACTTGTATGTATTCTAATCTATTATTTTTAAATTTATTGATTATTCTAAATACGTTTACTCAATACAGGAAATCGTATTGCTATAATCTTTACTAATGAATAATTGCAGTTTAATAAAAAATATAATATTCGAATATACTTACGTTGTAATCTACTTCGCACTGTATCTAAAGGAAAGAATGCTGCCATAGCAACAACGCCACCCTGCAAAACAGTACCATTGATAAAAATTAATTTATGCAGCGACTTAATAATTTTTTTAAATTTTGTATATTATATATACTTACGGCAGCGCCGGATATTGCGTGGACTAGTGTTTCATAACTAAAAAGGCTTCTATTATTTCCTCCACCACTCATATTTGCAAATAATTTGATTTTCAAGTTTTATGTATTATAATAAAATTTGTTTTAGTTTATTATTCTTCATTAAATTTCGTTGCATCGCGTAATCGATAATTATCCTATAAACATGTATTTGTATATAAAAAACTAATATAATTATTATTTTAATATAAAAAGTATCACGATGAGCAATACGACTTTAGATTTGAATAATTCAACGATATTTCTGTGTCAAAATGTTAATTAAATCAATTGATCGAGTAGTATAATCGATTAGTTTACATATTTCTAAATATAAATGCAATATAAATTAACAACTCACTTTAAAATTTCAATCCAATTTAAAACAATTTTCAAATCATTTCATAAATTCGTTTCACAGTCGTTTATAATTTAAAAAAAAAATGTACAAATTTTTACTGAATTACCACCGTCGATAAGTACACTCTACTACATGAACTAACCACAAAAGCAATTACCACACGAACAATAATACTTCAAAAATACAGTAATTTCGTACTATTAGTACCTTCTACGCTCATATTGTCGAATGACGTTTAGAAATGATAATTCGTAGATAAACTACGATCGACTTCGTAGAGCGATACGTTGATACTGATAAAGTAAATATTCCAGAATATTATCACTGGCAAATGACAAGTCCATGTGCCGATCGTGTGAAGTCGTTACTCTTGAGTAGCCTTCGTATATACGGTTGGTTGTTTTCCTTCACGTGTTCCTTTTATCGCACACGCCAACATTCCGACATTGAGCACAGCGAACGGCGCGACACACTTGACTTGCGGCTCGAAGCCTAAGTTCGATGCAAAGTTTTTAGTCAATTCATCCTGAACTAGGCGCGACCGATAAAATTACCTCGGCCATGATGGATTGCCCCCTGGATAATACGCTTGCGCATGCTACGCATTTGTGGTTACATCGCTGGCTCGAGAGGTCGATTATATAGCACATGTGAGCATGCTTAATGCAATTAGTAATTTGATTTGAATTTTATAAGTTCATTTGTCACCATAAAATTCATTTCTTAATTTTAATTACGAAGTAAATGCAAAGAAAGTTTAGTGTTAAGGATAAATATTGTTGTTTTGATCGTAACGTATAATTATCATTTGAATGAATGCAATAGACATGCCGGGCGAAAAGAAAATAATCTAATCGTAATGTACATAATTCAATGAAAGAAATAGTAAGATAAATTTAATCAAATGTTACTGTAAACTTTTATATGCTGCTTTATCGATCTTGCAAACTACTCGTTAAAAAAAAAAAAGACGATAAACATTAATATCCATTTTTTTATTGCTCAACAGAATCATTTGAATTGATAATGAGGATTGGAATACAATATTGAAGTACGTATTTAAAATACATTATTATTATTAGGAATATTGAAAAATATACATATCGTAAAATATTTTATAAATCAACGAGAACCATATTCACGATTATAAAACTTTTTTAACAAAGGAAAGTACAAATATGAATATTAATAATAGTTGAATATCAAACTGCAAATGAATGAATGTATGAAAATACATGGAATTAAGGATAAAAATTAATTTTCCAGGCTATAACGAGGCTATTGTAAAATTCCACGGAAAATAAGGATAAAAATGACAAGCGAGTGAAAAAAGAAAGCAAATATGGCGGATGTTCATTAACCAGGGTCCAGTTATTGCGGATTCACCATTACAGATAGGTGAGGAGAAATTTTCGTTTCCTTCCATTAATACGGTAAGAGAAATATAATTCATTCTACTACCTGATGCATTATTGTTATAGGAGAACAGAATATTTCAGATGGTGGTCATTCGTCGTGTAAAATTTCGCAGCTCGTTCGTGGTTATCTCTGGCGCACTTCAAGATATCTTCTATTTATTTCGCCCCTGGGAGTTCTCATGGCGGCTGTTCGTTAGAGCCACGGACTGTTCTCGAATTTCCACCCCGTTAGAATGAAATCCTCCCTTTCTGTTTCACCGGTGAACGCGTTGCACAGTTCCCATGAGCGTTTGCCCTGCGATCGCATGAAAAGTGATTTCTGCCTCGTCCTCTTCACCCTTCGTTTCTCCAGCGACCTGCAAATACTTCGCAGATTGCTTATGCGCAACGCAAACACCGCAGAGGGCAACTTCGAAGGGAATCGAAAAATACTTTGACTCTTGATATCGATGTTATCCAAAGTTCTCGAAAGCAGAGTAATACAAGATATCAAAAATGGTAATACAAAATACGAGATACGAAGATATTTCGCCTCTACGAAGATGGAAGGAGGAATTTCATCCTTTGTTTCATTCGACATCTCGAAATTTGATATTTCAAATTTTTCTTCGTTTCAATTAAAAGCACAGGTTAATTAATCGTTTCACGGTTAATTATATTAAACAAGTGGAATACATTTCCATAATTGATGATATTGCCGTTTATACACGAGTTTGAGATAATGTATAAATATTTATCGATTCCGCTAATTTATTAGCATTTCTTTCGCGTTGAATTGCGTGTATAAAACGATGTCGATACGTCAATAAATACTGGTTGCGCGTGAAAGAGTTGGAAGAAGACAGAGGAATAACAGGTTAAAAGTAAACATACGAACGTCTTTTCACTTATACTTAGTAGAATTTTAATTAAAACAGTGAACCACGAGAAATTAGAATTATTGTAATTACGAGACCCATTCGCGGAAAAATCTGTTGTACCGTCGATATTACTTTTCCTGCGCTAAAGGAGACACTCGCATGATGCACGAGCTTTGTGACGCCTCGTCCGAAATTCTCCAAGTTCTTGACGGAGTTTAATTAAACATTCCGCACGTCTGGAATTTTGTGGTCACCTCGTTCTCTCTGTACTGAAACTCCTTCTAATGGATTCTGCCCCTTGAACCTCGATACGTAAGCTGACGTCGTGTCGACACGACTCTTCGTCGGTTTCTTTGTTCTTGACCATCCGTTTTCTGAAAATCAGTGTTTGAACATTCAAATCTTTTACGTACATCATATTTTCCTTTCATAAGGTCGCGACAAATCAACCGAGGAAGAAGCAGAAATTCCACTTTAAGTTCTTCTTTAAAGTACGTTGCGACAGAAGATCATCGATGAAGGACATCTCTGCTCTTCGGTATCTTATAAACGATTAATCCAAGACAACAATCCTCTTCGATTGAGCAGTCAACTGCAAAGGACGAAGAAACTAGTCTTGGATAAGAGGCTGCGATTCTAGGTAAGGTTTCTCCCACGGAAAAGATCCTTATTGCTCGCACACGAGGAACGTACTCATGGAAACAATTTTAATTACCAAATTAATGTCTGCATGAATCCTAAAAACTTTTAAGCCATAAGCTATTAATAAATGAAACTTTCTTCGTTGGTAATTAGTAACAAACTTTCTGTCGATCTTCTGGGGAAGGTATTACCCGAATCCAAGCCATTCTGCTTGAAGTCCTGTTGAATTTTTCCATGCATATTTACTTGGAACTCAAAATCTTCAAATAAAATATAATTTTTACCTGATTTTAGGTGACATCGCTTCTCAATTATCGGCGAGTTCACGCGAATAGGGAATGAAGGAAAGGTCAATTAGCAAGCATTACTTTGAACGCATTAAACTAGTAACAGAAGGTCCCCGCTTCGAACGGCATGGCTCTTTCATTTGCCGGAAGTCGGCTTCGACACCGATTAAGTCGGTTAAATCGGGGGCCCTTTAAAGTGGATTAAAATGTTATCCCTGGCGGATGACGTTTGCGAGTAATAATTCCTTTATTCGTCCAGCGTCGACTGTAATTGCAAGTCAGAGATCTAATTTCTGCTCGGAGATCTCATCGCGACGGTTACGTAAACGGTCTGATCGTGCAACGGCCATCGAAAATAACCTTCGACCGGGAAGGTGGATGGGAGGAATGGCTTTGGGGGGCTCGATTTAAATAAATTTCAATCGCGGCGTCCGAGAGTGATTTTCTGGCCGGTTCGAGGCGTCGCCGAGGGCTGTCGAGAGAAATATCGCAGAAGAAACGAGGGATGAATGACCAGTCGAGTGTATGAAACAATTGCGCGACAGAGTTCAATCCGACTTGCAATTAAATGTCCGTGGAAAACACCAACATCGAGAGGTACAGATGAAACTCATTGAAACTCAGATTAAAGTGATTTGGAAAAATTGAAGAAAGCAAAGGATAGCCTTTCAGAGGAAATGTACCTTCGTTGCATTTAATTAGAAGCGAGGCTCCAGCGTGCGATTGAACCATCTGCAATCCATGATCTGGCTGTAAAAATGGCAGAACGGAAGCGGCGTGGTCGGGAAATTAATTAACGTATTAATCGAGTAATTGGCCTCACCCGAGGGCTCGCGGTAGATCTACGTGGAACTTTCTTTTATGGGACTAATTAATCTGCCGAGAGCTCTGTGAAGAATGTCTTTTCATTGGGTTGTCGGGGCGTTGGCTCGGAAATGACCACCGCTTGACCGCATAAATACAGCGAAGCCGACGAATCGAGCCGCGCGACTTTTTAAATCCTCACGACGTTTGCTCTCCTCGATTGCTCGTAATTACTTTGATTCTATTACCATCGTCGAATTTGGCCATTCAAAGAATTCTCGAGTTCTCGAGCTTGCTTGCTCGTCCTACCGTGGAGAAAGTGGTGCTGGTAATTCCGTATTAACGAACTTGGTAACGCAGGGACTTGTAATCTTTTGTGAGAGTAAAAATGGATTACGTTTAATTGAACACTCGGGAAGACGAGGTAGTGACAGTCATAGTGTAGAAGGGCTGTGATATTTAAGAAACAAAGAGCACGTGTCGATATTGTTTACGCATTTATTACAAGAGAACGAAACGTTTCTTTGGTCCGAAAATCAGGGGTGAGTTTTACGAAAAGATGCGTCTCTCGTTTTGTTTCCATGCGCTTTGATTATTACGCTCACGATCTTCGAATGTTGAGCAGCCACGCTTGTGCGTAGTGTTGCAGGATTATGGTAACGAATGGAATAAAGTTCGAAGGTCAGAAGCTTCCTGAAGCGTATCGAATTCTTATGATTTCATGAACCTTTTGTCAATCGAGTAAAGTATCTTGCCTATAAACTTGAATTTTGCAATTCGTAGTGTTTAAGGTGAAACTCGAGTCGATACAATTAGACGAAGATATTGAAAATGATTCGAAACTTTGCTATGATTGATCAACGCATCCAATGCTCGTACGTGTTCGGTACAATAGTGTCCCATCTCGATTTATACGAATAAATTAACTATATACACGTATACGGTATTTGGTTCGTATCGGCTTAGCGATCATGCTTAAATAGAATCCAAGTGACACGATCAGTCGACCATTTCGACCAGCTACGAGGACACATTGATCTTAGGTTTCAGATTTTCTACATATCCATTTCGATCTATCGACAGGGGCAAAGAAATCGTATAATTGAATATCGACGGTGTGAAGGCTCGGTAACTAACAGAAAGAAATAGAAGTTTTAATTAATCTGCCTAAGGATACGAATGGTCGACTGGTCTGATAGCGTACCAAAAGATCCAAAGGTTATCACGAGAACGGTTTTCCTTTCGTTTCAGCCGCTATTACGCCGAACTCTTCCGTTTTCCGGTCGACATCGATTAATTAACCCGACGATCGACCCGACCGATTGTATCTTATTTTAGTAATATATGTTATTTCCGGGACGCTATGCTAGAGCTATTTCTTTAATTAATTAAGGCGAGCAGCGTGGTCGGTTTAAACGTTTCCCTTCTTCGACGATCCTCGCTTACGATTCCTCGTCCGTGCCACTTTCGTTTCGCGGTACACCGTGGCCATCCTAAAAACGCGATATCAATCCTACGTCTCCTTTGCTGTTCTCCCCTGAGAGAGAACGTTAATTCGTCACCGTTTCCGAGGTTCTACCCTTCATCCGATTAACATCCGAACTTTTCTGTTCCAGACAAGCGCCACAAGTAGAACGGATAATGACTTCTACTTGGAGACACACACTGGACTATGCACGCGTGGATCGAGTGGAACGTGGTTCGTTCGCGAGGATCGTCCATCGAGTCCAGACCCATCGTTCCGAATTCAGTTTCGAGAGGACCTCTGTACGATATCACTGAATGGAGCACGTCTTCCTGGCGTCGGAGGTACGCAGGGTGATCCTCGATCCCGGCGCGTTGTTCTCATTCCCGGCAGCCAGGGAGCACGTTTTCGTTCTCATGATCATCAGATCCGTTCTGATGCTGGGTCGACGCACGTTGGGCGCCACGACGCCGCAGGCGTCGCTCAGCCGTCGCTTTATACTCAGGGTGGCTTTGTGCCTTGGCTGGAAACAAATTGTCGCTCTTTCAAACGCTTTTGAAAAAGGCCCACTCGACGACACGCTCCCTGGAGAGGGAACGTAATCGTTTTGCCGACTTAACGCGCTCGCCCCCCGCCCCCGAGTTATATACCTTTCTGCAACGCCCACCCCTTCTCAAACAGGTTGGTCTATCCACGAATCGTTCAATTACATCGTTTCCCAATTCGAACGTTATTTGCGTTCTTTGGTGCCTTCTATCGACCCTATAGAATTTTCAGTACAAAAATTTCCAAAGCTTCTCCACTCTCTGACGTTTCTCGAATCGTCGCGTCGATTATTGTAAAACGAACAAGTTTCAAACCCCTGGCTTTTCGATTTCTCATGCTCGTTAAATTTTCGTTTTTGCAGGTCGTCTTTGGAAATTTTGTTTGTTTGAAGAGAGAAGTCCGCGCAATTGTCAAGGTTTCGATCGATCACTGAACAATCCCGAGGGAAGTTAAAGTGCAATCAATGGCGGATTTGCGTTTCAAACGATTCAATGGAAGAGACTGCGAAGAGTAGATCACTCCCTCGAGGTGATAAAAATTGATACCTTTTCGTTATACAGTTATTCAACGCTTTATTTTTACAGGTTCCCGAAAATTGTAACGTCTCTCGAAGACTAAATCCGCCACTGGATGTAATAATCGGTAAATTCTTTTACCTGTGACGGTGGCAACATCGTGGGAGAACCGAAAGTGAGGGGGACCTTTCTGTGATGATTTGGCGCCATTTCCAAGGGTAAGCCGGCCACTACGAACAGTTGGTAAAAAAGCTCCTCTACGTGGTAGTTCCTCT